TGGGACATTCCAGAGGACAAATGACCCAGTTTCTTCAATAAGGCAACGGTGGGGGGAAAAAGGGGAGGGAGAGGAGGAAAGCTAGATAGTTCTAGATTAAAATAGACTTAGATATAAAGGCAATAGATGAATTTTGTTTGGACTCTTGATTTAGACTGAAACAACTGTAAGCAGAGTTTAAAGATATCTGGGACACGACTAAATACTGGGTATCAGCTGGTACGAAACAATTATGTTTAAGCCTGATAACAGTACTGTGATTATCTATAAATACATAAATTTGTAGAGACACCATAAAGTACATAAAATTGAAAACGATACATCTATGATTTAAAATATTTCTATAAAAAGAGCAAATACAACAAAATGCTAATAATCTTTATATCAAGATGTCGGATATAAGGTTGTGTACTGTATTGCTGTATTTTCAATTTTGCATAATGCAAAACTAAAGAAAAAACACACCATCACCAATCTACCTGAAATTTTAGTGCCACTAAAATCTCCCTGTAACCACCAACTTTCCAGTCTCACTTGGTGTGGACTAAGAAACCCAAACCCGGGCCGGGCGCGGTGGCTCAAGCCTGTAATCCCAGCACTTTGGGAGGCCGAGGCCAGCAGATCACGAGGTCAGGAGATCGAGACTATCCTGGCTAACATGGTGAAACCCCGTCTCTACTAAAAATACAAAAAACTAGCCGGGCGTGGTGGCGGGCGCCTGTAGTCTCAGCTACTTGGGAAGCTGAGGCAGGAGAATGGCGTGAACCCGGGAGACGGAGTTTGCAGTGAGCCGAGATCACGCCACTGCACTCCAGCCTGGGAGACACAGCGAGACTCAGTCTCAAAAAAAAAAAAAAAAAAAAAAAAAAGAAACCCAAACCTAAGGCTGGATCTAGAGCTTACCACCTTTTTTTTTTTTTTTTGAGACAGAGTTTTCACTTTCGTTTCCCAGGCCGGAGTGCAAAGGCGCGATCTTGGCTCACTGCAACCTCTGACTCCCAGGTTCAAGCGATTCTCCTGCCTCAGCCTCCTGAGTAGCTGTGATTACAGGCATGTGCCATCACACCCAGCTAATTCTGTACTTTTAGTAGAGACAGGGTTTCTCCATGTTGGTCAGGTTGGTCTCGAACTTCCAACCTCAGGCAATCCGCCTGTCTTGGCCTCTCAAAGTGCTGGGAATACAGGCGTGAGCCACCGCACCAGGCCGAGCTTACCACTTTTTTAGCTTCCCATTTGAAATGACTCAACTGTCAGAATTCCTACGGGTGGTTTGACACCTGCATTAGAATAGACAAATGTCAGATTACCTTTAAAAAGATGACAGCAAAAATTCCTAACTTGAAAATCAAATAACAATCAGAAGAAAAGTCTGTCTTTAAAATGAAAGACCTGGCTGGGCATGGTGGCTCACACCTGTAATCCCAGCACTTTGGGAGACCAAGGCGGGCAGATCACGAGGTCAGGAGTTCCAGACCAGCCTGGCCAACATGGTGAAACGCTGTCTCTACTAAAAACACAAAAATTAGCCGGCCTGGTGGCGCGTACCTGTAGTCCCACCTACTTGGGAGGCTGAGGCAAGAGAATCACTTGAACCCAGGAGGCAGAGGTTTCAGTGAGCCAAGATCATGCCACTGCACTCCAGCCTGGGCAACAGTGAGGCTCCATCTCAAAAAAAAAAAAAAAGAAAGAAAGACCCATCACTACACTATTTTTTCCTAGTTTGGAAACATATCGTCTCTAAACAAAGTTCCCACACAGAGCACTAAGAATGAAATACTACAATACCAGGCCTTTAAAATTTTATATCAACAAACCTAATTTCAAGAGGTTTAAATTCACTCTCAGAAACACCAATATACAAGATACAATACTCAGAAAAATCAACATTGGAAAGTCTCAGTAATGTCTGACATCATCAACAAAAGCTTGTAGACGTGGTGGCAAGTGCCTGTAACACCAGTGCTTCGGGAAGCTGAGGCAGGACTGCTTGAGCTCAGAAGTTTGAGATGAGCCTGGGCAATATAGTGAGACTCCCATCTCTATACAAATTTAATATATATTACATATATATATTTTTTGGTTTGTTTGTTTGGGATGGAGTCTCACTCTGTCGCCCAGGCTGGAGTGCAGTGGCACAATCTCGGCTCGCTGCAAGCTCTGCCTCCTGGGTTCACACCATTCTCCTGCCTCAGCCTCCCAAGTAGCTGGGGCTACAGCCACCCGCCACCATGCCCGGCTAATATTTTTGTATTTTTAGTAGAGACGGGGTTTCACCGTGTTAGCCAGGATGTTCTCCATCATCTGACCTCGTGATCTGCTGGCCTCGGCCTCCCAAAGTGCAGGGATTACAGGGGTGAGCCACCACGCCTGGCCAAAAATATATTTTTAAAAAAGAGGCTGGAAGGGGTGGCTCACATCAGTAATCTCAGCACTTTGGGAGGCCGACGTGGGTGGATCACTTGAGGTCAGGAGTTCGAGACCAGCCTGGCCAACATAGTGAGATGAGACCCCATCTCTACTAAAAACACAAACATTACATGGGCATGGTGGCATGCACCTGTAATCTCAGCTATTTGGGAGGCTGAGGCAGGAGAATCACTTTAACCTGGGAGGAGAAGGTTGCAGTGAGCCGAGATCACACCACTGCACTCCAGCTTGGGCAACAGAGCAAAACTGTCTCAAAAAAATAAAATAAAATAAAATAAAATAAAATAAAATAAAATAAAATAAAATAAAAAGAGCATATAGGCCGGGTGCGGAGGCTCCAGCACTTCGGGAGACCAACATGGGTGGACCACCTGAGGTCAACAGTTCAAGACCAGACTGGGTAACACGGTAAAACCCTGTATCTACTAAAAATACAAAAATTAGCTGGGCGCAGTGGTGTGTGCCTGTAATCCCAACTACTCGGGAGGCTGAGACAGGAGAATCCCTTGAGCCCGGGAGGAGGAGGCTGCAGTGAGCAGAGATCACACCATTGCACTCTGGACCGGGAGACAGAGCTACACTCCATCTCACAAAAAAAAAAGAAAAGAGAAGTTCTCTACTCTCCCCCAAACTTTACCTTCATTACCAAGGTTTGGGTTTGCATCTGACTGGGAGGAATTCATGTATTTCTACACAGTACAATCAGACAGACTTAATAGACTGGACACAAGGCATGAAAAAAGTATCACTCTATTACACTGGTGTACTGTTCTTTTAAAATTGTGCTTGGCCGGGCGCGGTGGCTCACGCCTGTAATCCCACCACTTTGGGAGGCCAAGGCGGGCAAATCATGAGGTCAGGATATCGAGACCATCCTGCCTAACACGGTGAAACCCCGTGTCCACTAAAAAAAAATACAAAAAAATTAGCCGGGCGTGGTGGCGGGCGCCTGTAGTCCCAGCTACTTGGGAGGCTGAGGCAAGAGAACGGCGTGAATCTGGGAGGCGGAGCTTGCAGTGAGAGGCGATCCCACCACTGTGCTCCAGCCTGAGCGACAGAGGGTGACTCGTCTAAAAAAAAAAAAGAAAAAAAAAATCGTGCTCAATTAATGCAGGAAAAAAACTGTCTAAAGACAACTTTGGTATAATTTCCCTTTAAACTACGGAACCTATTAAAAAATAATTTTAAAACGCACTGTAGATTTTTTTCAATTTTAATCCTCTACTTCTATGGCATTACACTGCTCTCATTTCCTAACAAATATATTAAGATCTGATAAGACGACCTGGGCTGCTTACTCCCGCCTTCTAGGTTCCAGGCAATTAACTTACACACACAGCCTAATCCTTCCACTCTTCTGACTCTGCAGGAGTCAGAAGAGAACTACCTGCTTGGGCATTTCTAGTGAATGCTGCATAGAGAACATCCAGGAGAACCCAAAGAAAGCAGGCTCCAACTCTTAAAAGTCTATAGGCCGCCTTCTACCAGACCTTAACTTTCATTTAATCAAAATCACAACTAATTTTAACTCACTTTAAAGCTTTCTTGTATTCAGAAACATTCCAAAATGTTACATGAGTAACATATGCCAACACTCCACCAAAGTAAGCCGGCTTTGTAAAGACAAAGAGAAGCAAGATTTTCACAATTTCTGCAACACTAGCTTCAAAATTAGAATAGCCTTACACTGTTCAAATCTTGGCTGTCAAAGCAAAAATAACCCACTCCTTCTTTATCTACAAAAGCTTAAAAATGTGTTCCTGTTATTGCCAAAACCAAAAAGTTTTATTTAATCCAGAATCTTTCATCCACAGTATTTGAGAAAAGTCATCTCAAATTACACAAGGATGACCTGAAAGTTTAAGGAGTGGAAACTACATAAACCTTTTTATTTGTAAAACTTCCTGGCATGCGAAAACAATGCAAAATATTCTTATGTTTTATTTTAATGACTAAACATAAACTCAAACAGCCCATGAGATGCACACTTCATGTTCACATACACTATAAAACAGAAATACCCTTATTTGTGGACGTCGTAAAGGCGCACTGCACTCTTTTTTCAAAGTTAACCCAGGATGGGCCACGAAACGTCCTTTCTGAAGGAAATCTTAAAAGCCTGTAATTTAAATCGTGCCTTTTCAAGCTGGAAAGAGAACGCTCAGATGCCGCCAAGCAAAAAAAAAAAAAAAAATTATCTTTACTTCGTGGGTAGACAAAGTGAGTAGTTACACGTAAGAAATGACTATTGTCACAGCGCTCTGCCCCCGTGTTTCACGCTCGCATTCCTGACGGCTGCGACCCCGACCTTTAGGAGAACGCCCCGCGCCGCCAAGCCACCTCGGCGGCAGGCCCGCGCCGCCAAGACCGCACCTGCCCGAGTACGTGTCCGGCCGAGCTCCGCCCCCGGCCCCCGCCCGGCCTTGCCCGCGGGACAAAGCGCACCCCAGGCCGGTCCGGACGCCAAGCGACCCCGAGCCGCGGGCCGACCTTGGCACCGCCCCGAGCCGGCCGCACAAAGCGCCGCACTTCCGGCCTGGACGCGCAGTCGCCCGCCGCCCGCCCCCACTCACCGCGCCGCGGCGGCGACCTGGGCCTCAGTGACCAGCGCACGCCGGCCCGCGGCGGGCTTGGCCGTGGGGCGAAACGAGGGAGGGCGCGCCGAGGAGACCGGCTACGATAAGAGGCTGACCCTCCGAGCCCCGCGTCTCCGCCGCCTCCCCGGCGCCGCGCTCCCGCTAGCTCGGCTCCGCTTGGCCCGGCCCGCCTCTCCGCAGCCCGCGCTCCCCGCCGACGCTGCGCAGCCACCGGAGTCGTCGACCTCACTTCCGCCCGAGCTCGCCGCGACGGGGGCGCGCCAGGCACGTGACTGCGCAGCGTACGCGCTCCCGCCGGCGCCCTCGAGACGCCCGGATGGACGAGCGCGGGCCCGCCGCAGTTAGCGAACGGATGGGGCGTAGCTGTAGTTTTTGCATTCACGCTCTGTGAAAAAAGTATTTGATTTATATTTTGAGATAGTCCCGCGCCGCAGAAACCCTTGTGTGTGCCCGGACGCCAGGGCGCGGGCCGCTATGGCCGCACCCGGGAGTCGAGCCTTGTCCCCGGGGGGCGGAGCGGGGCGGAGCTCAGCTCACGGAGCCTTTGCCAGTGTGGAGGCTGCGGGCGCCCGCTCAGGAGTGCAGATTTCAGAGAATGCAAGTCGGTTTCAAGTGTAGAAGTGCGGAATCATTTATATAGACAGAATTCAGGAAAGGTGTACTAGAATGTTCGTTGTTTTTTTTTTTTTTTTTGAGACGGAGTTTCGCTCTTGTCACCCAGGCTGGAGTGCAATGGGGCGATCTCGGCTCACTGCAACCTCCGCCTCCCGGGTTCAAGCGATTTCCCTGCCTCGGCCTCCCGAGTAACTGAGATTCCAGGCGCCCGCCACCACACCTGGCTAATTTTTGTGTTCTTAGTAGAGACGAGGTTTCTCCGTGTTGGTCAGGTTAGTCTCCAACTCCTGACCTCAGGTCAGCCACCCACGTCGGCCTCCCAAAGTGCTGGGATTACTGGTGTGAGCCACCGCGCCCGGCCAAATGTTAGTATTTTTATGTAAAGCTTAGTATATAGTTACAATGATTTGATTAGTTCAGGGGGTCTCTAGGGGGAGGTATGTTTATTATTTCATATTAAAGAGGTGCGTGTCTTGGTGTTTCTGTTTGGGGTGTCGTCTGGTCTGAGCTAGGTACAGGATGACAAAGGAGGGAGTTATTGCAATAAAGATTAGTGACGGAAGGGAGGAGGCCTGGCTCTGGTCTTTTTTCAGTCGTTTATAAAATAAAAACAGCTGGGCGCGCTGACATGCCTGTAATCCCAGCACTATGGGAGGCGGAGGTGGGCAGATCACGAGGTCAGGAGTTCAAGACCAGCGTGGCCAACATAGTGAAAAAGCGTTTCTACTAAAAATACAAAAATTAGCTGGGGGTGGTGGCACACATCTGTAATCCCAGCTGCTCAGGAGGCTGAGGCAGGAGAATCTCTTGAATCCGGAAGGCAGAGGTTGCAGTGAGCTGAGATTGCTGCCACTGCACTCCAGCCTGGGCGACAGAGCAAGACTCCGTCTCAAAAAAAAAAAAAAAAAAAATATATATATATATATATATATATAAAAATGTGTAACCATGGAATCATAAAAGGACAAGAAGAAAACATGGGGAAATTCCTTTTTAGTATTGGAGTAAAGAGGGCCTTTCTACGTATTATTCGAAATCCAGAAGTCATGACTGTCAAAAGCTTTGGCCGGCAAAAAGCACCATAAGCAAAGTCAAAAGATAAATGATTAACAAGGAAGAAATAGTCCCAACTCATGTAAATAGACAAAGCTAATCTCTTTAATATTCCAAAAGCTTCCAGAAGTCAACAATAAAAAGCCCTAGCACCCAATAGAAAAATTAGAGTTCACAGCAAAGGACTAAGCCTGGCTGTTAGTCATATGAAAAATATCCAATCTCACTTCTATAAAGACCAATGCAAGTTAAAACTCTTTGAGACAGCAGTGTTCACTGTGGTTGGCAACCATCCAAAAAATTGGCAATGCTATTGATAAGGCTGCCAGGAAGCTGGCACTCAGACATTGCTGGATGGGAAAGGGGATCATCTGATGATGTGTGTCAAAATGAATACACAATGTTTTATTCAACAACTGCACGTCTGGCAGTTTGCCTACAGAGATACTCACAGATGTGTGAAATGAAATGAGTTCACGCCTATTAATTGCAGCATTGTGCATAGTAGCAAAATACTGGAAACAAATCCTAGTGTCCACACCTAGGGAAATGACTGAGTAAACTCTGGTTTATCTTGCAGTGAAATAGCCTATAACTTGAAAAAGAAATGGGGAAACTTTGTATGTACTGAAATGAAAATATCTCCAAGGTAGACTTTTCAATGAAAAAAACCAAGTATGGAACTGTGTGTAAGAATGTTACATAAAAAGGTAGAAATGAAAAAATATATCTGTATTTATTTACATTTACAGAATATTGTCATATTTACAGAAATACCAAAAAAATAGCCAAAAATCTACCGGTAACGATTATCTGTGATAACACTGGGAAAAAAAGTGGGCCCTGAGCAGATAGGGGACAGATGTGAGAAAGATAATTTTCATGTTTGGGTTTTTTTTTTAATTTTTGCACCAGGTGAATATATAAATTACCTACTCTAAAATTAAATTTAAAAATAAATAAAAATCTCAGCCAGGCATGGTGGCTCACACCTGTAATCCCAGCACTTTGGGAGGCTGAGGTGGGCGCATCATGAGGTCGGGAGATGGAGACCATCCTGGCTAACACGGTGAAACCCCGTCTCTACTGAAAATACAAAAAAATTAACCGGGCCTGGTGGCACGTGCCTGTAGTCCCAGCTACTCGGGAGGCTGAGGCAGAAGAATCGCTTGAACCCGGAAGGTGGAGGTTGCAGTGAGCCGAGATCATGCCACTGCACTCCAGCCTAGCAACAGAGTAGGACTCTGTCTCAGAAAAATAATAATAAGAAGAAGAAAATCTCATATATTTTTGATGGGAGTAAAATGGTATAATCACTTTGGATAAAGTTCTAATCATTTCTTATGAAACTAAACATCCGAGGTGGAGGCGGGCAGATCGTGATGTCAGATCAAGACCATCCTGGCTAACATGGTGAAACCCCATCTCTACTAAAAATACAAAAAAAAAAAAAATTAGCCGGGTGTGGTGACAGGCGCCTGTGGTCCCGTAGCAGGACGAGCCGCAGACAAAACTCCTCAGACACCGGATTAAAGAAGGAAGAGATTTTTTTATTCAGCCGGGAGCGTTGGCAGACTCGCATCTTAGGAGTCCAGCTCCCCAAAAAAGAAATTCCTAGCCCTTTTAAGGGCTTACAACTCTAAGGGGTCCACGTGAAAAGGTCATGATAAGTCAAGTAAACGTGAGGAATGTGACTGGGGCTACATATATCAGCTAACAGAACAAAAAGTTTTATAGTGCTTTCTCATACAATGTCTGGAATTTACAGATAACACCAGTAGTTTTGGTCAGGGGTTATTATTATTATTATTATTATTATTTTAACCACAAGGGCCAGGTGGTGACGCCAAGGTCATCTACCTATTGATCTTACTTTTGTTTCTTTCCACCTTTTTACTTTACCCCTTCTCTCCTGTCTTATAAACTAGGGAAAAGGGGAGGTGAGGGAGAAGCTGGGAAGGACAGCAGGAGAAGTGGTGGTCTCATTCCAGTCCCAGCTACTCGGGAGGCTGAGACAGGAGAATGGCGTGAACCCGAGAGACGAAGCTTGCAGTGAGCCGAGATTGCACCATTGCACTCCAGCCTGGGTGACAGAGCGAGACTCCGTCTCAAAAAAATAAAAGTAAAAATAAAGAAACTAAGGCCAGGCGCGGTGGCTCACGCCTGTAATCCCAGCACTTTGGGAGGCCGAGGCGGGCGGATCACGAGGTCAGGAGATCGAGACCATCCTGGCTAACACGGTGAAACCCCGTCTCTACTAAAAATACAAAAAATTAGCCGGGCGTGGTGGCGGGCGCTTGTAGTCCCAGCTACTGGGAGGCTGAGACAGGAGAATGGCGTGAACCCGGGAGGCGGAGCTTGCAGTGAGCCCAGATCGCGCCCTGCACTCCAGCCTGGGTGACAGAGTGAGACTCCTTCTCAAAAAAAAAAAAAAAAAAAAGAAACTAAACATCCGGCCTGGTGTGGTGGCTGAAGCCTGTAATCACAGCAGTTTGGGAGGCTGAGGCGTGCAGATTACTTGAGGTCAGGAGTTCCAGACCAGCCTAGCCAATGTGGTGAAACCTCGTATCTACTAAAAATACAAAAATTAGCTGGACGTTGTGGCAGGCACCTGTAATCCCAGCTACTCAGGAGGCTGAGGCAGGAGCATCGCATGAACCCGGGAGGCAGAGGTTGTAGTGAGCCAAGATCACGCCACTGCACTTCAGCCTGGGTGACAGAGCGAGACTCTGTCTCTAAAAAAATACATAAACAAACAAACATTGGCCAGGTACAGTGTCTTACGCCTGTAAGCCTGTAATTCCAACACTTTGGGAGACCAAGGTGGGCGGATTGTTTGAGCCCAAGAGTTTGAAATCACCCTGGGTAATATATCAAGAGCCCCGTTTCTACAAAAAAAAAAAAAAAAAAAAAATACAGACTGGGTGCGGCGGCTCACAACTGTAATTCCAGCACTTTGGGAGGCCGAGGTGGGTGGATCACCTGAGGTCAGGAGTTCAAGAACAGCCTAGCCAACATGGTGAAACTCATCTCTACTAATAATACAAAAATTAGCCAGGAGTGGTGCTGTGCACCTGTAGTCCCAGCTACTGGGGAGGCTGAGGCAGAAGAATCGCTTGAATCCAAGAGGCAGAGGTTGCAGTGAGCCGAGATCACATCACTGCACTCCAGCCTGGGTGACACAGAACAGTGAGACTCTGTCTCCAAAAAACAAAACAAAAATTAGCTGGATGTGGTGTTGCACTCTGTAGTCCCAGCTACTGGTAGGGGGTGAGTAAGGAGAGAGGATTGTCAAGCCCAGTGGGTGGAGACTGCAGTGAGCTATGATGGTGCTACTGCACTCCAGCCTGGGTGACAAAGCAAGTCTGTGTCTTAAAACAAAGGTCAAAAATTTGAGACCAGCCTGGCCAACATGGTGAATCCCCGTCTCTGATAAAAAATACAAAAATTAGCTGGGCGTGGTCATGGGCACCTGTAATCCCAGTTACTCGGGAGGCTGAGGGTGGAGAATCGCTTGTATCCGGGAGACA